CCGCCCCGCCCCGCCCTCCGGCCCCCCCGTCAATTCCCCCAGTCTGGGCGCGGGGCCAGGACCTCCCACTGCCCCGGAGCGGACCGCCCAGTGCACCGCGGGCTGACGGGCGCGGGGCTTCCTCCGCCCCTGAGTCCCGGCGTCCGGCTCGGCTGACCAGCGCTGGTGGCGGTGGCCTGACCAACCAGTCTAGCCTGTGGCCTGGGCTCTGACCTCACCCGGCCATCGCGGACCTCTCCCTCCTCAGTCTGTCCAGGGACTTTGGGGTCCTTCCCACTATGGCCAGTGACCTGGTCAATTTAAACCAGCAGACCCCAGTACAACCAGTGGCCTGCACTGTCCTCTCCCAGTGTCACTAGTGGCCCCCAGCATTACCAGGGACTCTCACTGGCCTCTCCTAGTCAACTAGCTTGACCAGTGGCCTGAGTTAGCCTCTCCCAGAACAACCCGTGAACCCCAGTTCTACCCAGTGGCCGGGGTAGGACTAATCACTCTGCCCAGTGGCTTCCAGCCTGCCCAGTGGCCTAGAACAGCTGCTGCCAGCATGCCCTCCCCTGTGGCCAGTGCTCTGAGCTGTTCTGGCCAGTGGTCTGGAACTGGCCAGTTCAATCTCATACCTAATGGTCTTCCGATCCCAGTTCCGCCCAGTCCTCTGCCATTGTGGGGGGAGGGAGGGGGTTGCCGGCTTTCTCCCCCGTGGGGCCCTCCCTTTCCGCCCCCGTCTCCAGGGAATCCCAGGAATGCCACCCCCCTTCCTCCTCCCTCTCCCCTGTGCATGCTCCCTCCCAGCCTTGAGGGGAAGGGAGGGAAGCAGGCTGGCAGAAGCAGGTGAGTGGGGGAGGGGAGAGGATCAGTGCACCTGGGGCTGCGGGGAGGGGCCCGGCCGGCCAGAAAGTGGGGGTCACAGGTCACACTGGAGGTCACAGGTCAGACTGCCCCGGAGGTTCCTCACAACCCAGGTCACTGTGGGGCAAAATGCCCCAGGCTGCTGGTTGGGCAGGGAGGTGGGGGTGGTCACTTGGGAGACGCTTGCCCTGGAGGCACTGATCAGAACCGGGAGTCGCTGGTCATGGTGGGAGAGGTTCAGAGGCCTCAGACAAAGTGTGGAGAGGGTCACATGAGACACAGAGGGGTCACTTAGATCACAGGTCAGCCTACGAGTATTGTCAGACTGGTCAAGGCTAATCATTCATTGCTCATTAGAAAACCAAAACCAAACCTCTTGCGTCAAGTTGATTCTGACTCATAATGACCCTACAGGACAGAGCAGAACTGCCCTATAGGGTTTCCAAGGAGCGGCTGGTGGATTTTAATTGCCGATGTTTTGGTTAGTAGCTGAGCTCTTCACCACTATGCCACCAGGGCTCCTCATTGCTCATACAGGAGATCAATCGTTACATGGGGTTGTTGTTGTTAGGTGCCCTGGAGTCGGTTCTGACACATAGTGACCCCATGTGACAGAGTAGAACTTCCCCATAGGGTTTTCTAGGTTGTAATCTACAAAGGCACATTGCCAGATCTTTCTCCTGCAGAGCTGCTGGGTAAGTTTGAACCACCAACCTTTCTGTTAGTAGCTGAGTGCTGAATTGTTGGTGCCACCAAGGCTCCTTGTTATACTTGGAAAAGTGACTTTTTAGTATTAGCCATACCATCTCCTCCAGGAAGCCCTCCGTACTCCCCAGGCTGAGTCAGCTGCCCCCTCTGGGCTCTTGCAGCTCCCTGGGTTCACCCATCTCAGCCCTGCCCACTCTGTATTGTCACTGTCTGGGGTCAGGTCTGTCTCCAGTACTCTGTGTCCCCAGCACTCTCCAGCACAAGCCCAGGCACAGAGCAGGCGCTGGGAAAAGGCTTGCAAGGCTCAAACTCAGGAGCACACAGGCTCACGTGCAGACCTCACCCAGGTTAGATCATCATAGAACACAGGGTACAACCTCACTCCTGGACCGGACCGTGCAGCCGCACTCCCAGACAGCAGCCCCGAGTGCTCCCAGGCATAAGCTCCCACACTGCCACCCCAGACACCCACTCCCAGCTCTTCTGCCCCCGGCTCGTGCACCTGCTGCCCTGGCCTGGATGGATATGGGTGGGTGCCGTCTCATCAGCCATCCCCCTTCCACCTTCCTCAGGCACCCAACCAGCTGACATTCTAGGTGAGGGAGAAGGAATACATTGAGTCTGTATGGAGAAGGAGCCCTGGTGGCATAAAACAGTTAAGCACTTGGCTGGCTGCTAACCAAAAGGCTGGCAGTTTGAACCCACCTAGCAGCTCCGCGGGAGAAAGACTTGACAATCCACTAAAGATTACAGCCTAGAAAACCCTATGGACAGGGGCAGATTAACCAGTAAGCAAGGTAAGCACTGGTTTACAGTAAGCAAGGTATGCATGGGCTTAATAGTGTTTACTTACTAAGCTGTAGTGCATAATTTCACATGGGTGAAAACAGGTGAAATTGTGCACTACAGATTAATAAGTAAACATAAATAAGCCCACGCATACCTTGCTTATTGGGTAATCCATCCCCGCCTATGGGGCAGTTCTACTCTCTCCTGCAGGGTCCCTATGAATCAGAATTGACTCGATGGCATACAACGACATATGGAGGAGGGAAGGATATAAACACCAGCTGTGGCCCTTTGCAGACTTGCAGAAACTAGTACTGTAACATCATGTGTCCTTGCCCCTACGGTTTATTTCCAAAGAACAGCCAGAGGGATCCCGTTATAATGTGAGTCAGATACCATCATTCTGCTCAGAATCCTCCCATGTGGCTCCCTTCTCACCCAGAGTGGTAGCTAAAGTTCTCTCCGCGGCTCACAAGGCCCTTGCTCTGGCCTCATTACCTCTCTGACCTATCTCTACTCCCTCCCCTTGCTAATTCTCCTCTAGCTACCAGGGTCTCGTTGCTTCCAGGCTTTCGGTTCAAAACACTATTGCCTTTGCAATTAGGTCTGCTGGGACACTCGCCCGGAAATCCACATAGCTCCCTCCCTCACCTGCTTCAAATCTTTTCTCCATCACCTCTCCAGAGAGCTTTCCTGGCCACCCCCCATTCCCTTTCTCTTACTTCATTTTTCCTCTATAGCATTTATCACCATCAGGTAGATTACATTGCATTATTTTTTTTTTTTTACTGTTTGTCTTGCCCGGTAAACAAGGAAACAGGAACTTCGCTTTGTTGGTTCCCGTATCTCCAGTAGCTCCGGCTGCTAACCCAAACCTCAGCAGTTTGAATCCACCAGGTGCTCCTTGGAAACCCTGTAGGGCAGTTCTACTCTGTCCTATAGGGTCACTATGAGTCGGAATTGACTCGACGGCAACGGGTTTGGTTTTGTTATCTCTGGTGCCTAGAACTGTGCTTGGCACGGGGAGGAGCTGAACAAATATTTGTGCAATGAATTATTTTGCCAATTCCATCCTTGCCCTGTTGGTGTTGTTATTGTTGTTGGGTGCCCTCTAGCCGATTCCAAGTCACAGCGATCCCATGTTGGAGAGTAGAACTGCCCCATAATTTTCTAGGCGGGAATCTTGACAGGAGCAGACTGCCACATCTTTCTCCCACGGAGCGGCTGGTGGGTTTGAACAGCTGACCTTTTGGTTAGCAGCCGAGTGCTTAACCACTGCTCCACCGGGGCTCCCTATGTCCCCTCCTGTAATATCTGTGCAGTTTTGTGACTCACATGTAACCACAGAATGTGGCAGAGATGATGCTGCATGACTTCTGAGATCAGCTCAGGAAAGACCATCTAGCTGCTGCCTTGTTCGCTGGAATATTTTCCATGAAGCTTTCAGCCACCATATAAGCAGTCGCACTGCATGGAGGCTGCCATGCTGTGCGGAAGCCCAAAGCAGCCAAAGCAGAGACCACACGGATAGGCTCTGAGGCTCCAGCTCCCAGCTGCTTCAGCTGCAGACACCGTTTGATTGCAACTGCAAGACCAATGCTAAGCCACAACCACCCAACTGAGCCCTTCCTAAAATCCTGGCCCACAGGAACCATGAGTAATAAAATGTTGTCGCTTAAGCCACTTTGTTTTGAAGTAATTTGTTATGGGCACTAGCTAATGAGAAGAGCAGCCACATCCTGTTTTCTAGGGCAGCAGAGGCAGCGAGGTGCATGCAGCGTCCAGTGGTCATTGGGGCACCAGCTTGTCCTCATCAGACCGGTTCTGTGATGTGATTGTGGCTGGGCTACCGTGGCTGGCCAGCTGCCAATGTTCTTGCTCATTTTCTGCTCCTGGTTCTCCAATCCCTCCTGGGATTCTGGGAGCGATCCAAAATCCTTTCAATAAATTCCCTTGCTGCCCCAGAGGTGGTTTCTGTTGCTTGGAACTAAATCTCGCATACATGCTTCTGTGCTCCTGGTATGCTGTCTTTTTCTCATCTTTTGAGTCTCAGCTCAGACAATGTCCCCTCCTCCTGGAAGCCCTCCCTGCCTGCCCAGGCTGGGTCAGCTGCCCCCTCGGGATTCCTGCAGTCCCCAGGGCCCCCTATCCCAGTTCTTCCCACTCTGGGCTGTCACTATCTGCGGACAGGTCTGTCTCCCCACTGGACTGTGAGCTCCTGGTTGGCAGGGCTGTGGCTGTGTCATCACTGCTGTGTTTCCAGCCTGGGGCTGGACACAAGGCGGGGGTTCAGGGAATGTGGACTGATTCAGACTAAAGTGAGAGAGGTAGTGTTGTTCACTCTAGGATTAGCGATGAGGTGGGGAGACACTTCCTCGGCTGGATTTAGACTGGAAGTTATTGGTACTTTGGGAGAAGGAGCCCAGATGGGAATAGAGGAAAGAGGGATGAGAACAGCAGGGGGTGGCAACACTGGGTACATAAACCTCAAGGAGACATGAGGTCTTTTTCTGTGACTAGGGACTTAGAACTTGGATAACTGGGTCTGGGTCCAGGAATTTTTTTGTCCCGATTGGAGCCCTGGTGGCGCAGCAGTTAAGAGCTACGGCTTCTAACCAAAAGGTTGGCAGTCTGAATCCACCAGCCGCTCCTTGGAAACCCTATGGGGCAGTTCTACTCTGTCCTATATGGTCACTATGAGTTGGAATCGACTTGATGGCAACTTTTTTTTTTTTTTTTTTAAGGTTTGGGGAGTACAGGGTAGATGCCTGATTTTCTGAAAGCCTGGGATTCTGGTGGTGCAGTGGTTAAAGAACTCAGCTGCTAACTAAAAGGTCAGTGGTTCGAATCCACCTGCCGCTTAGCGGGCGAAAGATGTGGCAGTCTGCTTCTGTAAAGATTCCAGCCTTGGAAACCCTACGGGGCAGTTCTACTCTGTCCTATTGGGTAGCTGTGAGTCAGCACTGACTTGAAGGCAATGGGTTTGGTTTTTTTGTGGGGGAAGGGTGGTGCTCTGGACTCCTAAGTCCTGAGGGCAGAAGTGAGGGTCTGAGGGAGGAGCCTAGGGGGTGGCAGATTCTGTGTGAAGGTCTGAGGGAAGAGGGGACTGGGGGCCCAGACTCCTGAGCCCAGAGGAGCTGGGTCCCTCACTCTCGGCTCTTTGATCCCAAACCTCCAGTGTTGGCCAGGTGGGGATCGGGCCTCAGGGACCACCCATTTCCAATGCCAAACTGCCCCCTGGTGGCTGCCTCACTCTTGCTCCACACTCCAGAGGACAGACCAGGCTTGGCAGTTTATTTCCGCTTCACAAACCCCTTCCAGCCCCTGGGGCTCTCTTTAGCGGCACATCTTGGTACCCTGTGAGGTGGAAAGAGAGGTAGGTTAGATCAGATCAGATCAAATCAGGGCTGTCTGGGGCAGGGCGGGGCAGGATGGGGCTAGGCCAGGGGAGGGAACCTGGAGAAAGAGAGGGAGACTCACCTGGCCTCCAGGCCTGGGCAGTAGCCAGGGAGGGATAGTCCTTGGAGGGAAGAATTTCCCTTTAGGAGTTTCTGCAATGGAGACAGTTGGAGGGGCCATTGATTTCCTGGGGTCCAGTGCTTCCCCTCCACCTCCTGACCCCCTCTTCCCACAGCTCCTGGCTCCCCCCTCCACTTACTCTGTGGGCCCCTCCCTGGTCTGGTGGCTGGAGTTGGCCTCCCACAAGACTGAGACCACAGTCTTAATTTTCGGCAGGGGCAAAGGGGCCTGAAGTCTGGGGAGGGCTGGAGGTGCCTGGAAGGGAGAAGAGGGAGAAATATCAGAGCTGAGCCGTGGCCCGGGCTCCATGTTTTGTCTCACAGGCCCAGACAGTGATGGGGGTGGTATCGTGGGGCCTTGTCCCCAGTCCATGCTGCTTTCTCCCTTGCACCTTTGCATTGAATAAGAAGTTGTTTTAAGTTTGTCCATTTATCCATCCATACATCTATTCATCCATCCATCTGCCTTTCCATCCATCCATCTCCCCACCTATTCATCTATCCATCTGTTTCTCCGTATGACCACCCACCTATCCATCCATCCATTCACCTATCCATCCATCCATCCATCCATATTTCCATCCATCCACCTGTCTTTCCATCCATCCATCCATCCATTCATCCATTTACCCACCTATCCATCCATCCATCCATTTACCCACCTATCCCTCCAACCATTCATCCATCTGTCTCTCCATCCTTCCACCCACCTATCCATTCACCCATCCACCCATCTATCCATCCATGCACCTACCTATCCATCCAGCCACCCACCTATCCATCCATCCATCTTTCCTTCCTTCCATCCATCCATGCATCCATTCATCCATTTACCCACCTATCCATCCATCCATCCATTTACCCACCTATCCATCCATCCATTCATCCATCTGTCTCTCCATCCTTCCACCCACCTATCCATTCACCCATCCACCCATCTATCCATCCATGCACCTACCTATCCATCCATCCACCCACCTATCCATCCATCCGTCTTTCCTTCCATCTGTCCATCCACTCATCCCTCCATCTGTTCATTCAATCACTCCACAAACATTTCCTGAGCACCTACAGTTCTGGGTTGGCTCTGAAGAGACAGCCGTGAACAAGATAGACAAAAATCTCTGCCCTTATGGAGCTGATGTTCTACTCAGCAAGAGACTTACTGTGCATAATCAATGCACGAACAAGGAGATATCTCCGAGAGTGTTACACGTTCTCCAGAGAACTGAAACATGCATGGGGAGAATGTCCAGAGACAGGACAGTGGTGGAGGAAGGCTTCTCTGAGGAGGGGACAATTGAACAGAAAGAAGCCTGAATGCTAGAAGGATCTGGCTGCAGGAGGTGGGCGGGGTGGGAAGGGATCAGATCCGCAGGCCTTGTGGGCCCTGCAGAGGACTTTGGCTTCAATTCTCAGAGCCCCGGGGAGCTAGTGAGGGCTTCTGAGAGGTGAGGGAGGGGATCCAACTCAGGCTACACACGCCCAATTTCACTGACTTCCCCAAACCTGTGGGGCTTGTGTCATGCTTGTCCCTGTTCTCCACATAGGGACACTGGGGCACAGAGAGTTCCCTAGCAGTGAGTGGGGGCACTGAGATTTGAGCCAGGGTCCCACCGACTGACAATGTTGCCCCCTAGAGGTGGGTTTCTCAGACGGAGAATAGCGCTGTGCAGACAGCATCCCCAGCCGAGGGAACCCACAGCCACGAGTTGATCCCGACTCATAGCGACCCTATTAGGATGGAGTAGAACTGCCCCATAGGGTTTCCAAGGCTGGAATCTTTACGGAAGCAGACTGCCACATCTTCTTCCCATGGAGCCGCTGGTGTGTTTGAACCACGGACCGACCTTCTGGTTAGCAGCCGAGCACTTAACCACTGCACCATCGAGGGAATAGCAAGTGCAGATCATGACCACAGTGACCCTGACCCTTCACAGAGTCCTCACCTGGGCCTCTGCACCATCCCATCCAGTCCCCACAAAAGCTCCACGTGGCTGAGACTAGCACCACTCCCGTTTTACAGATGAGGTAATCGAGGCCCACAGAGGAAATGGAATATGAGCTTTGGGGTCTGGAGTCAGGAGGTTCCAGTGCTGACTCCACTAGCTACGAGCTGGGCGGCTTTCAGATCTGCGAGCCTGAGTGTCTCCCTCTGGATAATAGGATCATAATAGTACCTAACTCATCGCGCTGCCATGACAATTAAATAAGTATGTTAAAAAGCAGTGCCACAAGGAAAATATTAGCCCAAGAGACAGAAGGGCCACGTAAGCCAGAGGCTTCATCAGCCTGAGACCAGAAGAACTAGATGGTACCCGGCTACCACCAATGACCATCCTGCCAGGGAACACAACAGAGAGTCCCTGATGGGGTAGGAGAAAGGTGGGCTGCAGAAACTCAAATTCTAGTACGAAGACCAGACTTAATGGTCTGACCGAGACTGGAGGAACCCCAGAAAGCACGGCCCCTACATTCTCTATCAGCCCAGAACTAAAACAATTCCTGAGGCCAGCTCTTCAGACAAAGATTAGACTGGACTGTGGGACATGAAATGATACTCGCGAAGCGTGTGCTTCTTAGCTCAAGTAGATACATGAGACTAAATGGGCAGCTCCTGTCCGGAGGTGAGATGAGAAGGCAAAGAGGATCAGGAGCTGGTTGAACGGACACAGGAAATGCGGGGTAGAAAGGAGGAGTGTGCTGTCACAGTATAGGGAGAGCAACTAGGGTCACATAACAATGTAGGTACAAATTTTTAGATAAGAGACTCACTTGAAATGTAAACTTTCACTTAAAACACAACAACAAACAAAAAAAAAAACAAAATAAAAAAAGCAGCGCCAGGCACAGGTTGTTGGTAGCTGCAGTCGAGTCCGGTCCCCAACTCACGGGGACCCCATGCACAAGGGAACAAAACGTTACCCAGTCCTGCGCCATCCCTATGACTGGTTGGGGATTGGACCGCTGTGATCCAGAGGGTTTTTATCGACTGATTTTTGGAAGTAGATTGCCAGGCCTTTCTTCCTAGTCTGTCTTACTCTGGAAGCTCTGCTGAAACCTGCTCAACATCATAGCAACACGAAAGCCCCCACTGACAGCCTGCAATGGTGGCTGTGCATGAGGTGTGTTGGCTGGGAATCGAACCTGGGCCTCCCGCGTGGAAGGCGAGAGTTCTACCACTGACCCACGAGTACCCCTTTTCCAGTTGCCTCACTGCGAAGTAGCAAAGCCCAGTGAGCACCCGGGGCTGCCTCTTCTGCAGCAGGCTTTGAAGGGTGGAGGAGTAGGAGTTGATTGGGCTTTGAATCAGCCAGGGTCTCTGGAGAAGAGAGAAAGGCCGGAAGGGGAGGGCACAGCCCAAGCAAAAGTGTCACCATCTGACCAGAGGTACCCATGAGCCAGCAGTGCTGGCTGTGCCCCCTCACTGTCCTCAGGGAGCCAGCTGAGTGCCTCCTAATGTTTCCATTTTCATTTGGCTGAGGGTTGCATCTGTTTTTAGCTTTGCTGGCTAGTCTCACCGCCACCCCCCCTTCCTGCTCGCTTTCTTGTTTGCTGTGGCCGAATAATGTTCCCGGACTTCCTGAGCTGTTTGTTTGAAGGCAGCGCAGTATTGATTTAACCCTGCCCACAGAGATCTGCCCCTCCCCAGTGGAGGACTGGGGTCCTGAAAAATCCTGGGGAGGTGCAGGGGTCGGGGCAGAGAGAAAGCAACGCTGGGGCTTTGACTTGCTTATGCATTTGCTTAAAACAAAAGCAGAAGGGTTGGGGGGCTTTAAGGCCCCCCAGAGGAGCCCTGGTGGTGTCAGCACTTGGCTGCTAACCAAACGGTCAGCAGTTTGAACCTACCAGATACTCCTTGGGAGAAAGATGTGGTAGTCGGCTTCCATAAAGATTCCAGCCCTGGAAACCCTATGGAGGCAGTTCTACTCTGTTCTATGGGGTCGCTATGAGCCGGAATCGACTTGACGGCAATGGTTTGGTTTTTTCCTAACGTCCCCAACACTGGCTTCTCCTCTTTCAGGCTATGTGGCTTTGGGCAGATGAAATCACCTTTCTAAGCTTATTTCTTCTAGAAAATGGGGAGAAGAACATTATCCACTTCAGAGGGCTGTTGGGAAGACTCAGTGCAACGTATTCACTCAACACCTACTTATTGCGCACCTACTGTGTGTCAACATTGATGATGCAGTGGTAAAATTCTCACCTTCCGTGCAAGAGACCCGGGTTCGACTTCTGGCCAATGCACCTCATGCACAGCCACCACCCGACTGTCAGTGGAGGCTTGTGTGTTACTGTGATGCTGAGCAGATTTCAGCAGAGCTTCCAGACTAAGATGGGCTAAGAATAGAGGCCTGGCAATCTACTTCTGCCAATCAGCCTATGAGAACCCTATGGATCATGTGGTTTGATCTGCAACCAATCACGGGGATGGCGCAGGACTGGACAGCATTTGGTTCTGTTGTGCACGGGGTAGCAATGAGTCAGGGCCAACTCAGCGACAGCTGACAACAACTGTGTGTCAGGCACTGTTCTATACTCTGGAAATACAACGGAGAATAAGGTGCCTCGGAAGACAGGTCTAGCCATCTGCTTCCAAAAGGTCACAGCCTTGAAAATCCTATGGACACTCTGACTGGGATCACAACAGAGGGTCCTAGACAGAGTGGGAGCAAAATTGTAGAACAAAAAATCAAATTCACAAAAAAGACCAGAGTTACTGTTCTGACGGAGACTAAAGGAACCCCTGAGACTATGACCCTTAGACATCCTTCTGAACCGGAACTGCAGCCATTCCTGGAGACCACCTTTCAGCCAAAACATAGGCTGGCCCATAAAATAAACAATAACACCGCGAGGAACATGCTTCTTCAAACAATCAATTATACGAGATCAAAAGGGCGACATGTACCTAAAAGCAAAGATGAGAAGGCAGGAAGGGGTGGAAAATTAGGACGACAGGAAATGGGGAAACTATGACAGAAATGGGGAGAGTACTGACACGTCGTAGGGAATCAAACCAGTGTTATGGAACGCTTTGTGTCCAAACTATTGAATGGGAAACTAATTTGCTCTGTAAAGTCTCACCTAATGCACAATAAATTAAAAAAAGAAAAAACCCTATGGAGCCCTTCTAGTCTGCATAGATGGGCTTGCTAGGAGTCAGAATGGACTCTGACAGCAATTAACAACAACAAGACAAAGGCCTAACCTTCTGGGGTGGTTACAACCTACTGATGGTGGTGCCATGCAGTCAAGTCGATCCCAACCATAACGACCCTATAGGACAGAGTAGAACTGCACCACAGGATTTCCAAAGCTGTAATCTTTACAGAAGCAGACTGCCACATCTTTCTCCTGTGGAACAGCTGCTGGGTTTGAACCGCCGACCTTTCAGTTAGCAGCTGAGCACTTAACCACAAAGCTATATGCTCAGACAAGTGGTAAAGAGCTGTCAAAATACAGCAAAGCCAGGGGATGGAGGGATGAGGGTGCTATTCTCAACAGGTGGTCAGGAAGGCCTCTCTGAGGAGGGGGTGAGAAAGTGAGCCTAGAGGAAAAGAGATCCAGGTAGAGGGAACAGCTGGTGCAAAGGCCCTGAGGTGGGACATGCCCGGGTTGCTGGAGGAAGAGCCAGAAAGCCAGGGAGGCAAGAGAGAAATAGGAGAAGAGGGTCACAGAGGGGTGTAAACAGGGGCAGAAGGGGAGGGGTCTGGCCTGGCCCCCCAGGGAGTCCAGTCAGGCCAGGGACCCTGAGGCTGAGCGAGACCCAAGTGGACTCCCCCCAACCCAGTCCCAGTGCCTGACTCACCACATTTAGATGGCCTCCACTTCTGGGTCTTGTGGGGGATAGATCTAGCCGAGGGGGGAGAGGGGGCGCTGAAGGAGCCACCTGGGGATACAGAGGGTGAGAGGGGTTATGAGCTGCCATTCTCTCCTCACCCCTATAACCTCTTGCCTGGGGTCCTGGCATATAGGCACTGTTCTCATTTAGGGAGATATAATGGAGGATAAGACAAAGTCCTAACCCTCAGGGGGTTACAATTCGAGAAAGCTCCAGCCCCAGACCCCTGGGGAATCAAAAGTCCAGGCCCCCAGGACCCAAGAATCCTGTCACCATCCCCCTTGTTCCCTCAGACCCAGGAGTCCATCAGCTCCCCCGCCCCCATCAGGTCCCAGGAATTCCAGCCCCATCTCCTGCCTGACCCTGCTTACCTGCTCCATCTCCTCCTCCCTGTCTTCCTGGTCACTGCTGTCCCCTGAGTCCTCAGTGGCGGCAGACCTGGCCCCCACTGGCCTCCCTGGGAATTGCTGAACACTGATGGGCTCTTGGCCCTTGATCTCGCAGCGGCAGAAGGGGCAGGTCTGGCTGTCTGAGTGCTGGGGGAGGTGAGAGGGGAAGGTCAGGGGCTCCCTGTTCTCCACCATGTCCTTCCATCCCCAGCAGAGTGATGGAGAGGACAGACAGGGCAGGCAGGAAATAGAGAGGGAGAGAATGAGAGACAGAGACTGAGAGAGGATGAGAGACAGAGGATGAGAGAGACTGAGAGAGAGGCTGAGAGACAGAGAATGACAGAGACTGAGAGGATGAGAGAC